GCCTATGGCAGAAAACAAATGTTCTGAGGCAGAGAGTTGGTGAGTCTAGCTAAATGAAAAGGTAGGGGCTGGAGCTATGGCTCAGTGAGTGAGAGAGCTTGCCACACAAGCATGGTGACCCGAGTTTGGCTCAGAACACTCATATAAAGAGGAAAGCCAGGCATAGCTGTGCACCTGTAACCCCAGCACAGGGGGAACACCAGGGATGCCTGGCTCTGGCTTCAGGAAGAGACCTGACTCAAGGAATACAGTGGAAGTGATGAAGTCAGACACCTGATTTCCTCCTTTGACCTCAGCATGCATCATCCACCCATCCACCCACCCATCTACCTACATGAATACAGTACCCCCAACCGCAGTGTGTGCATGCATTCTCTCTCTCTCTCTCTCTCTCTCTCTCTCTCTCTCTCTCTCTCTCACGCGCGGCACACACACACACACACACACACACACACACACAAGGCAAGGTGAAAGCAAACCCAAGTGAATGGCTTGTTTGGGCTGTACATTTAAGTAAAACTCAAAAAACGTGTGCACCCAGTGAGTCTGTGATGGAGGAAGGTAATTGGTTAATTATAATAAACCAACTGCTTGGCCTCATAGCTTAGAACATAGGTGGGTGGAATAAACAGAATAGGATGCTGGGCGGAAGAGGAAGTGAGGTCAGACTCTGCTCTGCTCCCGGAGACTCAACAGCTCTGCTCTGGAGCAGAGACACCAGGATGGACATAGGCTAGAATCTTCCTGGTAAGCACACCTTGGGGTGCTTACACACATCATTAGAAATGGGCTAGTCCAGGTGCGAGAATTAGCCTGTAAGGGCTAGAGTTCATGGGCCAAGCAGTGTTTAACTGAATAGAGTTTGTGTGTTGTTATTTTGGGCATGAGCTAGCCAAGCGGCCGGGGTGTTGGGGACGCAGCCCCGCCGCCGCTCTTATTTCAACAAGTCTGAAGCTTGCAGAGCATCCACCTCCATTGGGATCCATCAGGGTTAGATCACACAGGAGCCACTGAGATTTCCCAAGTCTGCCTCTGCGCTAGCTGAATCTTTCAGGAGTGAAACTCAGCAGCTTCTGTTCTTGCTGTCCTCTGTTCTCGCTGACCCACTTGGAAACTCCTGGTTCTTCCTAATGTCACGATTCCCATAAAGCATCCAGAACACTACTTGTGGCATGCGATGGTTTTTCTGCTGTGATGAGTCTCTGGGGAATATGGCGCTGTCAAGTTTTAGTGTACTCAAATGAAAAAGAAGTTTGGAGGATTCTGTTTATCTCGTGTACTGAACTTCAGGAAAGTTGGGGCGGGGGTGGTGGAGCCAAACTAATAATCTGGATTGCTTTTGAGCAGCCAGGATCCCAGCTGCTAATGTGATAACATGAGCACCAAGCAATGGCATACCGCTGTGCAGAGACAACAGTGACATTCCAGACCCTCCTTAAAGCGAGGAAGAGAAAGCTTGCCCTCCAACTCAGTTTCCGAGCTTTCTCAGACTCCTTCTGAGCACGTGCTGTGCACTAGACTTGCTGTGTGGTGCCTTCGATTCCAAAATGAGGGCTGACACAGTGTAACCCAGTTGCTTCTAGCATGCATGACAGGTTATGTCATCTTTGGGAAGATCTATTTCCTGGTGACGTTTTGGGGAATAAGGATTGTATCTCACAGGACATCATCAAGTGGTAGTGGACACAGCACTGTGGACTTGTGGAGGAGTTGGGGATGGGTTCTGACTTCAGGGCCATCAGAGAGGCCTCATAGTCTCGAGACAGCCACAAGCCTGAAGGATGTATATATCACCAGATGGCTAGGTATATGTCAGGCCTTCTGGACTGAGAGGCCAGCCTGAAGAGGCACCATAATATACCTACATCATATAGACCATTTGGGCCATATGACTAGAGCATAGTGTGGCCTCTGAGTGGTAGTTGAAGGTATTGTGACCATTGTGATGTAAGTGGAGGGAGCATCAGAAAGGCGATGTAGCCCGCTTATGGCTTGTGGATGCCTGTAGTGGAATGGTGGTATCTGAGGCCTGGGAGTGGTCAAAGGGAAGACAAGCATATGTGGGGACTTCTGGACTGCCAAGGGTTGCTTTGAATTGAACGTGCACTGAGAGAAATGAGAAGGCATTTTGCCCTGGGAAGCAAGCTCTTCTTGGGTTTCAGGGACCCTCAGGAGGAGGTGGCATGTGGGTGGCTGCATACATGGTGTTTGATTTCTGACTCATCCCAAAGACTCCTTTGCCTCCCAAAATACCTCCTCCGTGCAGCTGTAGATGCTGCTTGCTCCGTTACTGGGAGCTGGTTACCCTCTGTTGGGGTGTAGGTGCCCTGTGCAGAGATCTCCCCTCACCCTGTCAGCTGACCCCCATGAGGTACCGTGCAAAGGCTGATCACAAGAGGAACGGCTGTGCTGATGTGAACATTGTTGATAAGAAACCATCACTTCTCTTGTGGTTCTACAGCTGTGAAGCCTGTTTATTTGTTCTGTTATTTATTTTGTATCACTGGGAATAAAAGTTGGGGCTCCACAGAAGCTGGGTGAGCCCCCGGCCATTGAGCTACGTACCCAGCCATGCTTTATTTTTTTCTGAGAAGACGACAAATACTGCTTCTCCCACCCTGCCCTTTGCACAGCCTCACTTGGGGTCTGCTTGGGCAGGACCCTGGAGTTGGTAGGAATGGAAGGATAGTTCAGTGCTCGTTTCAGGAATTTCTTCCTTATGCACATTCTACAACTTACGTTAGCTTGGGTTGAGGTCCCACACAGCACTCTAGGGAACAAGGCTTGTCTGTGGGTCCACCATCTCCAGGGTATAGCTTCAAGGTCACACAAACTTACCTGAAGACAGAACAGGAGAAAGAGAAAGCACAATTTCCCTGGAAGTGCCTGCCACAAAGGACTCAGGTAGATGGACAGAGCCTGAGAAATACGGTTTAGTGATGAACCCGTGAAGAGTACTGAGCCAGGGTGGCTCCTTAGACAGGCATGGGGAAACATGGGTTCCTCTTCTTCTACTGTCGTAAGTTAATCCTGGGGCAGTGGCTTTAGGAGGATAGAGGATGAGTGTTAAAGCCCTCTCAGGTTTTATGTGGACCCAGTTTACCACGTTGGAGCGCTAAACTGTTGTAAGAGAAGCAGGCTGCTTGTTCTTCCCGGCCACCCGGCTATCTTAACCCCCGAAATAATCATATAGAAATTGTATTACTTAAATCACTGCCTGGCCTATTATCTCTAGTCTATTGGCTAGCTCTCATATCTTGATTTAACCCATTTCTACTAATCTATGTTCACCACGAGGTCATGGCTTACCAGGAAAGATTTAGCATGTCTGGCCTGGTGTCTCCATGGCTGCTCTCTCCCTCTGCTTTCTTCCTCTCAAAATTCAGTTCTGTCTTCCTTGCCTACCTATCAGGCCAAGCAGTTTCTTTATTGATTAACCAATGAAAGCAACACATAAACAAAAGGACCTCCTACACCAGATGAGAGAGTTGTGGAGGCCTGGAAACTGCCTAGTGGTTGGAAAAGAGAGGAATCCTGCATCCATGGTGAAGGGTAGCATCTTTCCTTGGGTTCTTTCTAGGTAAAGGATGACAGAGTCCAGACTCGAAGAGACGCCTCTGTGTTGTTTGTTTTTGGGGGAAGTGGGAGAAGCTAATGGACATTCCCAATGCACGCATCTTAGAATCATGTCAGAATAGGAATCGGGTGTGGAGGGGTCCAAGTGCTGTGGCGTCTGTAAGTGTATTTCAAGTCTCTGGGGTGCCAAGAACTGGTAGGTTTGGGCTTGTGGAAGCCTGAGTGGGGCTCTGAACCACCCCTCCTTCTTCACACAAGAGGACAAGCAGGTCACTAGAATCCAAATGGACACAGGTGGCCCAGATTTCCACCCTGGTTTTTTTTTTTACATGCCACTGTGTTTTTGCTCAGCTTCTTGGACTGTGTGTGTGTGTGTGTGTGTGTGTATGTGTATGTGTTCAGTGTCTGACTGTACATACCCCAGCCTCATAGCAGAAATGCCCTTCCCAACAGAACCTCGGCTCTTTTTTCTTCCAGCCCTTTCTCTTGTTCTCTTACTTTAATTTCTTCTGATTTATTTATTTGTTTGTTCGCTTGTGGCAGAATCTCATTATGTAACCTTGGCTGGCCTGGAACTCATTGTGTAGACCAGGCTAGCCTCTAACCCTAATCTGGTGCTGAGGTTAAAGGTGTGCACCTCAGCTATTTCTCAATTCACTTTAATTTTAAATATTTTTTCTAATTATTAAAGTAATGATAATGACGGAGGTTAGGTAACTCTATGCTTTTATAACAAACTATGTGGAAATAAAAAAGCAGCCTGTGGTTCCTGATTGCTTTCTAATGCAGACATATTTATTTGCTTATGTGCAATGCGGTGTGTTTATATAATTCATTGCCACATGAAATAAATATGATACAACTCAAATATTTCATATTGTATAATATTTCATATTATACAGCCCTTGAAATTTTATTAAAATAACTGGTAGTATGGAGAGATGCATATGTAAATATATCCTAGTTCTCATCTACTTGTTTTATCTTTTAATCAAGTCATAAAATACCAAATAGGAATCTCTATTCCATGCACCTTGGAATAGAATTCTAATTTTACACGGTGGAGAGATGCTTAGCAATTTAAAAGCTGTAACTGCTCTTACGGAGGATACCAGTCTAGTTCCCAGAATGCACTTGGCAGTTTGCGATTGCCTTCCAGGGACCTGACATTTCCCTTCTGGTCTCTACAGGCACCAGGCAAGCACATGGTGCACATATGTAGTTGCAGATAAAATATTCATACACATAGAATTAAAATAAACAAAATCTTATCTAAAAACAGAATTCTAAGAATTTTTAAGGGTTGTATAATATTGCATGTCATGGAAACATACATGATGCTTAAGCTAACGGCAGTGATGGGGCTGAAGGATGGAGTGTTAGCTGTGTTCCTTTTCTTTGACTCTGTGTCCATTCCCTTCCAGGGCATCAGCAGCCTGTTCAGTTCTCTGAAGGTTGTGCGCTTGCTCCGTCTCGGGCGAGTGGCACGCAAGCTGGACCATTACATCGAGTATGGAGCTGCGGTTCTGGTCTTGTTGGTGTGCGTGTTTGGGCTGGCTGCCCACTGGATGGCCTGCATCTGGTACAGCATTGGGGACTACGAGATCTTTGACGAAGACACCAAGACGATCCGCAACAATAGCTGGCTCTACCAGCTGGCGATGGACATTGGCACTCCATACCAGTTCAACGGGTCTGGCTCGGGCAAGTGGGAAGGCGGGCCAAGCAAGAATTCTGTCTACATCTCCTCCCTGTACTTCACCATGACCAGTCTCACCAGCGTGGGCTTTGGGAACATCGCCCCGTCCACAGACATTGAGAAGATCTTCGCGGTGGCTATCATGATGATTGGCTGTGAGTATGGCACTCGGAGTGGAGTGGGGGAACCTGCCTGGTAGCCAGGCCTGCTGCAGGCTGAAAATGGAGTAGGGGCTGCTCCACCAGGAGGGTCAAGGAATGACCAACAGACGTGTTCTCTCCTGAAGATAGGGTTGTGGTATTTCTGATCACTAAACCAGCACGTGCTCATTGAGAAGCAAGCTTAGGAGGTGTAAATGGTGTGCAGCTGTAGCTCAATTGGTAAAGCACTTACCTGACTTGCAGAAAGCCCTGGGTTCAGTCCCCAGCGCTGTATGGACTGGGTGTGGAGGAGCATGTGGGTAGCCTCAGAATTCAGGACAGTCAGGCTAGACAGAAAGTTCTAAGCCAGCCTGGGTTCCCTGAGACCCTGTTAGCGGAAACAAAGGGAGAGAGAAGAGGAGAGGGGAAGCGATGGGAAGAGACAATTACTTTCTGGTGCCTTCACTAGTCTGCTTTCTCTGTGTACCTGGTCTGGATACTCGATTTTTATTGTTTGGAGAGACGGCCTCACATACAGTTTTCTGAGAACACTGACAGGACTTTCTATGTCCATTTTAGTCTTAAGACAGCGAGTGTGGTGTTTCGGTTACACAGCGAAATGTTCACAGCAGGGTCCACCTGACAACCGTCTTCTGACACCGCCGCCTTTCTTTCCCTATTATTTTCATCGAATGTGTGTCTTGTGCTGCGTGTCGGTTTAAACATAGCTTAGATCTGCGTAGTCCAACCTGGCATGAGAAAAAAAAAACAATGTCTGAGTGAAGATATTAGGGTGTCTTTGGCACCTTTGCATTGGTATGAGCTGAAGTTTAGGGTTAAATGAAATATTCTATTACAATCACTCTCCTCTTCAGGTTTCCTAGGGAAAATTTTACTTCTTTAGAACTAGTCTGGATTATTCCTTCCTTCTTTCTATGTTCTTCCATCCTTGCCCCTCCTCACCCAGGTCTTTCAATGTAGCCCAGGATGACTTGGAACTCACTATGTAGCCTGGGCTAGCCTCAAACTCCTGCCAAACTTCTTGCCTCAGCCTACTTGAGTGCTGGGATTATAGACCTGAGTCATAATTATTCCCAGCTAAAATCAATATTTTCCTGTCTGCCTCTTGGTGGAGAAGTCTCCATGCTTGATACACAACACACATACAGGGGGAGAGAGAGAGACGGGGGGAGGGGGGAGAGAGAGAGAGAGAGAAATAGATTAATGGCATACTGTTCCTGCATTGAATATCCCCCTAGTTCTTGAGGCAAGTACTTATGTGTAAGTCATTTTACCATGACAACTGTGTGGTTGTCGCTGTGAAAAGTGCCTTTGGCTGATGACAGTGACCTTCCTTCATTCCAGGAAGTCTTAGTAGGGTGGGAACCTGCCTGGCTGGAGACATCAGTGAGCCTGAGTGGTTTGTGATCAAGCTGCTATGGTGACTACTGTACTGTGTTGACAGGGGGCAGGCTCCACGGGGGAAGCTTCCATTTGCAGCGATCTGATCACCCAGAGAACTCAACCTCCAGAGCCCAAGGGAGCCCAAGGGAGCCCAAGGGAGCCCATGGGCAGGACTTCCTTTTCTTGGATAAGGTCCTCAAGGTGACATTGATGAATGAATGGCTGACACTCTTGGCCTACCCGTTGAGAGGTGCAGATCTGGGGTAGACGTTGCCACCCCGCATTGTCCTACCTCCTGATCACCTCCAGTTTCTTGTAGCTCCTTCCTCGTGCCTGACGCAGGCAGATCCTGGGAGTTTTATGCAGGATGTGTCTGAAGGGGTAATTGATTCTGGGAACTGGGTGCTGGTGTAGCTGTTGCGTTTGCTCCTTATTTTAAGATGGGTTTTAATAGAGATGATTGCCTGGCCATGGAAAGCTGAGTGAAGGATCCGTGGGTGGCTAATTGCTTCAGTTTAATTAGAACTTGGGGTGCTTTCTCATGTCTCAGGCAAGGATTTAAGACTTTTTCTCTTCTACAAGGGTTTCAACCTTAACTGTGCTGGTTTCTAGTCAGGACTTGCAACTTACAAAAAGAAAGAAACTTCAGTGCTGGGGATCAAACTTAGCCTCTTTCGTATGTTAGGCATAAGCCTCACCACTGAGCGGCTTCTCAGCCTGCTTCCAGAATTTTTATGAGCCTCGGAATGCAGAATAATCAAAATGATATGCTGGGCATAGGGCCTTTCAGGGGAGATAAAGGCCCCATTATAGCTGTTACTGAGAATTTGCTAAGAGTGGTCAGTTAGAAATGGGCCTGTTTCATGGTCTCAAAAGGTTTTTAGGGCTTCCTTGCAGTTTGTCACACAGAGGAGAAAGAAAAAGTCCTAGGGGCATGCAATGAAGACAAACACATCTCTTTCCTGTCCCGTGACTGTTCTCCCATGAGAGTATTGTTTCCTAAACCTAAGAGGAACCCTGGCCATCTCCGCTCCTTATATGTCCCCACCTTCTCAGAGCCAGACACCCTTTCCGTTCTTTACGATAACACGAGACTATCAGTCAGGCCGTGTCCTCGGTGTGGTGAAGCATGTGGACCGTTGGGCTAAGAGCTCCCGTTTGACTGTTTGCGGAGCTCTAGTGAATGCTAGACACTGCGCTGAGCTCGCCCACATGCTCTGTTGCTTACTCTGCCGGTTCTTCCATAAGGAAAAGGAGGCTCACACAAGTGTCCTCATTCTCAAGAACATGGGGCTGCTGCGGAGAGAGCTCAAAGGACTGCTCACCTGTGATGGTGATGAACTCACATGTGGTGTGGGCCACCTGCACAGATTCTCCATGCTCGCTCACTGACACGTGGAAAATTCCTCCTGTGAACTTGAGCAGACTGCCCATGGCTGTTGTGGAAACTCTCATTGGTTGCTGTTTTAATATAAGAACACAATTAGGCTTCAGACTCGGGACCAGGTATTTATGGGAGCAGCTATTTTTCAGCAACCTGTCATGTATGGTTACAGCTGTGACATATGTCTAACACATTCCCCTGTTAATGAGAAAAGCTTTGTACCACGTGTAATGGTTGGTAATCAGCCTGGTAAACAAACACCAAAAGAGCCTTCCTTCAGGATGGCTGCCAGTGTGGGGTGTCTCCCTTCCGCTGTCTCTGTGCACATAGGTGCACACTTACGCCCCCTCTGAACCACTCTTGGGTCAGACTTACACGGGGACTGAGATACCTAGCAGTGAGAGCCTGGGCATATCCCAAGATCTCTGTGCTGTCTCCCTCCCGGTAATCCCCAAAGATAGGAATGAGACTCAATTTTCTCCCCTTTGTATTGAATTCTTTGTGCCAGGGAATGGCATTTCTTGGCTCTTGTGGGGCCAGGTTAACTGTGCTATAGACGATGTGTGCTTTCTCTTGCTTCTTCTGTCTGCTGTGAACGTCTCATTGCAACTTGCTTATTCTCCAGAGGATCCCAGGAATTAGGAAAGTGAAGCATTTCCTAGCTAGCCTACGTTTCTCCATTCTAATAGACTATCCCATTAAGAGAACGTGGAAACCGAGGCTGTCTTCAATGGGCTGGCTTTGGGTATAAGCTGTTATCGGCCCTTGCTCTGGCCTCCCTGTTGGCACAAGCTGGTGACAAGGGCCTGGAGTTGGAGTCCTCATGGTGGTTGATCCCGTTTTCTAAATATGTGTTTGTACTTTTCCTTTTCTTCTTATAATGTCACCACTGTCACTCTGTAAGTGGCAGTCATCCTCTCTGGTGATGGCAGGGGATCCAGACGGCATACTCCAACTCTAGATACCACCCCAGCCCTGTGCTGCTTCCTGTGTCTGTGAGTCACGTCTTTCTCCCCAGTCTGCCCCCAGCTGAGCACCTTCAGCTGGGCACCAGTGCTCAGGGCCTTCTGAGAACACACTGCACAGCCCCCTACTCTCCTGCTGGACCTGAGCTTTCCAGATGAACGCTCCCGAAGGCTTGGCACTCCTACACGACACCAGGCCCACTAGGAGTGGGCTTCTTTATGTCACCTTCTGGTTTTTCTAAAAATATACAGTCATAACACTCAGGAGGAACTCGGGTGGGAGAGAGAGTGAAGATACTCTTAAACAGTCCTAATCCCCTATAGACTCTCAGTAAATATGGACATGTTCATCCTTAAATGGTTCTAATCACCTATAGACTCTCAGTAAATATGGACTTATTCATTTTGAACAGTTAAGGCCTTAACCTTTGGGAAGGGATGTTCAGTGCTTCTGAGGAAGCTTATTAATTATGGGATACAGAATCTTCTATTCAGCAGAGACCCAAAACAAGTTTCTTAAAAGTTCAGGCTTTACCTGGCTACCTCACAGATACCAGTGACCAGCTTCCTTAGTATGTTCATGTATCACTTCTGTATTGGGATCCCATGTGGCTGTTCTAGCTTCATCCATATTTTCCCCCAGAAAATAGAAAGAAAGGTATGAAAAAGGCCAGCTACACACTTCTTTTTTGAGAGTAAGACTAAGAAGTTTAGCTATAGTAATTTTTTTAAAATATCTCATTGGCTGAAATTTGATGATCTGGCCACATGTAGCTAGCTGCAAGAGAGTCTGAGAAATGTAATCTTATCCTGCCTGCATCACTGGTTGAGGGAAAACCAACCAGATTTAGTGGTGTTTTGCCAGGGAGAAGAGACTCTGGCTCAAGTTTGAAATATGTTCTGTGGTTTGGGTTGTACAGTTTAGTTTTTGGCTAGAGTGGGGGGGGCTGCCCCTGGTTCTGCCCCTGCTGATAGAAGTAAGAAGGACATTGCCATGATGAGACATGACAGCCCACAAAAAAGGCAAGAGTTTTCTATCCAGAGGCCAAGACTCTCCATGTCGCTAACAGTGACTGCTTCTTGCTCTACCCAGTTAATTTTGTGTTTCCTGTTCTTAGAAAAAATAAAACAATAATTGCTGCTCCGTCTAAGGAGCGCGGGAATGCTATTTAATTTCATTTTTGGTTCATGTTTATTTTGGGAAGTGGAGCAGTTTCAGAATTCTCTGGAAGAAGCAAGCACTCACTTGTCATTTGTTCTTAGCCTTTTCTAGCAAGAGAATGCTCTGCTTTTTCTCTGGAGCCTGATTCACCCCCCACCCACTGCCCACGGCCGTGGGTATGTCAGCCTGTGGTCCAGCCTGGAGCTACCACCTGCCCCTCTCTTCCCTAATTCCTCTCTTACAGAAAACAAGCTCACTTTGTCCCGCCCTGTCCCTAGCCAAGTTGATTGTGCCCTTTAGGGTCATGGGCCCTTTCTTTGGGGAGTCATTGTTTTCCTACACACTGGGCCTTTCTCCGAACAGGCTTCTATCTCATTATCTTTCTTGCTGTGGCTTTTTGTTCAGCTCCAAGGAGGTTCTAGAGGGTTGGACCCATGGGTCTCTCTGTGTTCTCTCTTCTCTGTGCCTGGTGGACGTGTGTTGCCAGAGCGTGGGAAACAGTGTCACTTAGAACCAGCCAGATCTGGTTGCCAGAAGAACAGAGTGGTGCAGAGCACCTGGCACTGAGGTCCTGCTGGGGTGCCAGCAGTAGGAGCTCTTCCCTGCCCCCACCCCCATCTTGTAGCACATCATGGAACTCAACAAATGATGATCCTACCAACCTCATTAATCCTGTGGGTATGGTCTTCTGTAATAGAACTTGAACTCACTGTGACTGTAGTGTGTAACAGGCAGGTCCCTACATGTAAGCACATCTGGTGTGTGAGTTTTCCAGATGCATGCAGACATTCAAGAAGGCAGTTGTCATGACCACAGAGCAAGTTAAGGGAGGCTGCTGGTGTGGTTGAGGAGGCCTCTCCCAGTCAATGCCCATGCCTACCGGGCAGCATCCTGATTGTGCAAGACACAGGACCGAGAGCAATAGGAGTTCCCGAGAGAAGGAGCTAGAACACAGAGCACCCAAAACATCTTGAGTAAGGCATTGGTAGCCCAACAACCCTTAGAGCAGGTCTCACCCCTCTTAGACAGATAGGAAACAGTTTGCCCCAGGGCCTGGATCCGGAGGTGGGTGAGCCGGATTTTGATTCCAGTTTCACCTGACAACAGAGGCTTTCTCTTCGTGTTGTTGCTTCCCTTGCTGATTATTTTGGGACACAGCAAGGCAAAACATCCTTTGTGTTGTGTGTGTTGTGGGTGTGCAGCACTAAGAGCAGAGCTGCTATGGGGGGCACTGGAGAGATGGCAAGGAGATGCTTTCCTGCAAGACATTTCTCTAATTTTGACCTATGATTATAATCAAACTTATCCGAATGCATTGTGGGAAGACACCAGTCTTGGTGGTAGCTGGGCACTGTACCCGGAAAAAGGATTTACAACAAAAACAATCACTAGATGTTAGGAAACTTGGATGGGGATGGAAGCTAATAGAGGAATTATCTCTGGCCTCAGAGATGGGCATATTATTTGCAAAATTCCCTTTTTAAAAATGCAATTTCTACTGAGATGGAAGTGGTACTATTGCTAGAATTCAGCATCTGTTACCATGTGTTTCTATCCTATCCCTGTTTCCTCTGAAGCTTGTAACACTCTCTGGCTGGGGTAGTGCTGCCTCTTTGTTATGGCTAAGGAGACAGTGGTGTTGCTTGCCACAGGTAGTGCATCTAGCAAGAGGGAGCTGGGCTCACCAGTCCTGTGCACTGCTGTGCTCACCGTCTCCACTGCCATGACAACCATTGGTTCTGGTAATCACAAGCGATGCTGGTGGACCAGCAGCTGGTGCCTTCATGGATTGTGTCAAAGCACAAGGAAATAGGTGGTGGTGGGTCAAGGGTGGTAACAGCTCACTTTCCCCTCATGGCAGAGGAAATAATAAATGCAATTTCATGCCTCCAGCTGCTTTGTGTCAAGTACTTATTATAGTTTGCAGTTGATAGACTGACACGTACAGGCACCTAAAGAGAAATTCTACTGAGGAGAAGAGAATGTTTCTTCCTTTAAAAGTGATAGATGAGAGCCTCCTGGGGCAAGTTTCTGAAGATATGACTCACCATCTTTCCATGTCTGAGCTACTGCCCCAGCTCCCAACAAGAACGAGATGGCTTCAGAGAACTCAGCTACCACCCAGCCCCTGCTTTCCTCCAAGTAGTAAGGAGAAAGCACTGGTGATCCTGGATGAGGGCCTGCCCACTCCCTGCCAGTCCTGGCCAGTCCCTCAGACTCTGTCCTGGGTAGGCTCATGTTTGTGACCCACCCAGAGTCTTCTACATGTCTAGAGATCAGGATTGCAGTGCCACGAGGCCCACGTGCTGTGTATTATGAGCAGTCAGACTCCTGCCCTGTAGTCTTTCACTCAGGCAGAGTCTGGGCTGCAAGCTGGGCCTTTAACGTGAATGATTCCTGAAGTATATGTGGAGTGTTTCCATCTGTCTCTCAGACAAAAGACTACATAGCTTGTCTGTCAGCCACTTCTCTGTGACAGCGCTCTTTAGAGGAGACTAACTGGATAAGAGAGACTCGGGAAAGTGACTCCCAGTGCCCACTGGGCCAGCCAAGCTGCGATGGGTCAGAAGCCACCTTTATGTCCCGGAAGTCACAGAGACTTGGAAGTCCAAGGATCAAATCAGACAGGCATGGAAATGGATCTTGGCTCTGCTCTGCTACTTGTTAGGATGAAACCACTGTGTTCCCGAGTCTGTTTCTTCATCCGGGAATGCTGCAAATGGAACGGCAGCGGTGAAGGGCAAGGCTGTTTTTTCTAGAACCTTTGTTTTCCCCTGACATCCGGCAGGGAGTCCCAGGTGGCCTCGCGTCAGTGGAGATGCTGTTCCTTACCGTGCCTTCGCGGATTTGAGTCCGGTAGCATTTTTACCAGGGATTATGGAGGGTGTTGGTTAAGGGTTTAAAGCCTGGGAGAAGACACGATGGAGAAGCCGGTGGAGGGATTAGGGATCACCCACCTTTGGTGGGAGAAGTTCGTACTGAAGGTTTGTGTGTGGGACTCAATACACCAGGATCGGATGAGGATGCCTTCAGACTGCCACTTGGAGGGTCAGCTCCACAAATCCTCAGCTGTCCTGACTCTACAAGTCTCTCAGGAAAGCTTCCTTTCTCACTTTCCTTCCCGCACTTATGAGAGGGGATGCTTTTAGCTCTCATCAGCTGGAGGCGTGGCTCTGAGTTATAGCTATGCGATGATAAAACCCACCACTGCCTCAAGAAAACTTGGCCAGGAACGGGGGCTGGAGAGGAGCCCAAGCTGAAGGGTAGCAGGCTTTGGAGTAAGGCAAGAGTGTGTGAAGGCACCCTGAGCTCTGCAGAGCATGGGGCTAAGCTTGGCCAGGATGACCCTTTATTTGTGCTATATAGGAAAGGAAGGGAGAGTCTTCTGGGCTGAGCTTGAATGGGGGTGGCAGAGCCAGAGCAGGGGAAGGGAACACACCGCTTCCTGCTTAGAATGGGCATAATGGCAAGCCATAGCCCTGGCTTAGAGAGCCCAGGGTTCCTGTGGGTGAAATGGAGAACCTAAAACACCCTTGAAGGATTCCCCCCAAGCCGTCCAGAAGTGTGTATTAGCAGGGGAGTCAGAACAGCCCTGCAGAGAGGCACAGTGGTGTTGCGGGAGGTCTTTCCGCCCCTCCAACCAATAGCTGCTGTGATACCACGCGGAAAGACCTCCCGCAACACAGTGGTGCAGCTGCTGGACAGATACTGCCCATCAGGCCAGCGTGGCCAGGTGGAAGGCAGGGACAGAGGCATGGACAGGCGGGCCATGGGTTCCTCCTGGCTGGCTCTGGAGTCCCACCCTCCCTCTTGGGAAGCTCAGGTGTTTAATTACACTAAGCTGTGATCACATGCAGGCACAGGAGGCCTTGGCTGGAACCCAGCAGTTTAACCAGTGGGAGGGAGGCAGGATTTCAGAGCCCAGGGCTTTGTGAACCTGGCTCAGTGGCATTTCAGCCTTTTGTCCTTGCTTTCTGCTCTCCCCAAATTTCAAACCCAGTGTGAAGACAGATAGGCAGCCACTGTCTTCTAGTGATAATGAACTAGATCTCCAGTGGCGGGGGCACTCACGGAGCTCCAGACTCATTTCGGAAGTTGCCCCATCAACCATGTTCCCAGGATTCCCTTCTGCAGTTGGCTTTTTGGATCCAACCCCACAGTGTGACATTTATCCAAATGTGTCCTTCCCGGCCTTGGCTATATTCATCTAGGAACACAGGCATGAGCAGGGACATAGTAACCAGCACAGAACTCTACGAGCCCATAATCTCCTTCTTCTGACACGTGCAGCAAGGTTGTTAGAATTCAACTCATCTTAGTGTTTAATCATTTTTTCATGTTCATGTGTGTGCATGCATGTGTGGGGGCATGTGTGTGGGGTACACATGCATGTGGAGATTCAAAGTTGATGTTGGGAATCTGTCCAGCTGTTCTGTTGCTATCTCCACTGAGGCAAGGCCTCTCAATCAAACCCATCATTCACTACTACGGCTAGTCTTTGCCTTCTGACATTGGGATTACAGGATGACTATGCCTGTCCAGCATTTCTTGGGTTCTGGGGATGAATCCTGGTCCTTGCTCTTACATGGCAGACACTTTAACAACAGAGCCATCTCTCCAGCTCAGTTTTTAATTTGAAAAAAAAATGTAACCAGTTTACAAAAGCATAACCAGTTTCTGTATAATGTCCATTACATGCATAGTGCGTTATTTATTTATCTGCAGTACTAGGGAGTGAACTCAGAGTTTTTCACATGCTAGGCAAGTACTCTATCATTGAACTATTTCCTCGGGTCTCTACCTCCAAGCCATGTCCCCAGAGAACTATCCACCTCTGAGCCATGTCCACAGAGATCTATCCACCTCTGAGCCATGTCTCCAGAGCTCCACCTCTGAGCCGTGTCCCCAGAGCTCCACCTCTGAGCCGTGTTCCCAGAGATCTATCCACCTCTGAGCCGTGTCCCCAGAGCTCTACCTCTGAGGCATGTTCCCAGAGATCTATCCACCTCAGAGCCATGTACCCAGAACTCAACCTCAGAGCTGTGTCCCCAGAGCTCCACCTCAGAGCCGTGTCCCCAGATCTCTACCTCAGAGCTGTGTCCCCAGAGCTCCACCTCTGAGCCATGTTCCCAGAGGTCTATTCACCTCAGAGCCGTGTCCCCAGAGACCTCTGAGCTGTGTCCCCAGAGCTCCGCCTCTGAGCCGTGTTCCCAGCACAGTACACAGCTCTTAAATCAAGGAAACACATCCATCTCCTCAAACATTCACCACGTTTCCAGGGGAAAGCATTCACAATGCTTTCATTTTTGTATATAGAGCCCATCATCGTCATCTGTGCCCTGGTGCTCAGAGCTGCTGGCTTCCATCTGTATCTCCATATCCGCCATTCAGCCTCTCTCCATTCCCCTTGTCCCTCTCCTCTCAGCTTCTGGAACCACATTGCTAGTCTTTATTTCTGGGAGAGCAGCTCTTTTAGCTTCCAAATGTGTGTGCGATCATGCGGTGCTTACCTCCGGGTGCCTGGCTTATCTTACTCATTGCGATGACCTCTAGTTCCATCCATGTTGTTGCGAATAACAGAACAAAGCCTGTTGCCCTAGGTGTGTTAGTGATTTTGTTGTTAGTAACCCAGGGTCCCCAGTGCTGCCTGTTGCTTTTTGTGGGAGTGGTTTGGGGAGCCATGCAAAATCACAAGTAGGCATTCAGGGGTGCATGGGCAAGGAGCACGCATTTGTGTACAAGTGTGCATGTCAGAACTTGACGTCGGTCATCAGGTACCCACCTTGATCACTTCTCCAAGTCGACTTCTTTTTTTAGTGCTGTTGTTTCCTGGTGAGACAGGGTCTCTCTGAGCTTGGAGCTTGCCAATTGGTTAGACCGACTGGCCTGTCTCTGCTGCCTTAGAACTGGGGCTCCAGGCAGGCACTGCCATGCCTCTGGCTTTTGTGTTACTACTGGGGGGGGGTCTGAACTCGGGTCCAGGTATTTATGTGGTAAGTACTTTATCGATGGAGCCATCTCCATAGCCCAGAGCTGCCTCTTCTCTCATCTCCTTTCCATCCTGGCTATTCCTCCAACAACCCATGAGATTCCTTGGTTGCAATGTGATCCCGGTGGGTGGCTCTTTCTGACCATTGATGTACTGGTGTTCCTTGTCACCTACAAGGGCTTGCAGGAGCTCAGTGCTTGGCCCCGACATGGAGGAAGCATCCTGTGTCATCTTCCTTAACTCTGGACTGGGACAATCAGGGTCCACTGTGTTGCCTGTATTTCACTGCCTCTTGCTGAAGCTTTTCTTCATCACAGTCTTTTCCCATAGACCCTGCTTGAGTTGGGGCAGGAAGGCTCTGGGTTCTCTCTTCTCACAGGACCTCAGCGATGGCAGTGCTGCTTGGCCAGCATCTACACGAGGAAGGCTGTGTATGGGTTCATCTTCTCTTGAACTGGCTTTTGGACTCAGCTCCATGATCCCAGTAGAATGATCCCTTCCCCACCGCTTAGCAGTTAAGGAGAAATGTCACTCACTTACTCTATAGAGGTATAACTCTGGGAAGTGACCATTGGTCCCCACGTCCTCGCTCAGCAGCGTGGTTCCCAGGGTCTCTCATTGAATAAATTCCAACCTTTTATCTGCATGGGCTTAGATGTGGATTTAGCTGAGTTGTAATTTGAAATTTACTGTTATGATTCTGGATTGTCTGTGAGGCATGATCACGGGCATTTCCTCCCATCCTGGGGTAGGTTACCTTTCCCTTCTACCCCCGAGTGTACAGAAGTGAGCATGCTTAAGAAGTCCAGTTTTGCTGGGTGGTGGTGGTGCACCACTTTAATCCCAGCACCTGAGAGGCAAAGGTAGGCAGATCTGTGAGTTTGAGGCCATCCTGGTCTTTAGAATGAGTTCCAGGACAGCCAGGGCTATATAGAGAAACCCTGTCTAGAAAAACAAAACAAACAAACAAAAAACAAAACAAGCAAAATCCAGTTTCTTTCCTTTTGTTTTGGGCACCGTATGTCAGAGTCTTGTCTTGAATCCCCCCTCTGGTGCTCACCTCCTTGGCCTACAGTCATGCATGACCTGCTCTGCGCCACAGTCAATCCCAGGTGCGGGTCCCCACATTTTATCACACCTCACGGCACTGCTGCCCTGACACCTGTCTCCTCTCTGGCTTACTTCAGAAGCTGTCAGAAGGGGAGAGTGCACCCTGCATCCTTGAGAGAACTGGGGAGAAGGTGTGGGTGGAAAAGCTGTGTGCACTAATTTTCTTGTTTACCCGCTGGGTGTATCATTTCCATGTACTAAAGAACATATTAGAACTAGTTCTGGAGCCAGGCGGTGGTGGCGCACACCTTCAACCCCAGCACTCGGAGGCAGAGCCAGGCGAATCTCTGTGAGTTCAAGACCAGCATGGTCTACAAGAGATGTTCCTAGACAGGCTCCAAAGCTACAGAGAAACCAACCAGACCTGTCTCAAAAGAAAAAAAAAAAAAAAAGAGTTCTGGAAACCTTCATTTTTTTTTTTCTGGGATGCTTCTGAAAGCCAGAGCCAAGAGCAAGACTATGGAGTGACATTATACCCTTTCTTCCAGTGGGGGCCTCTAGAATCACAGGGTATTGGCTAAACCCGAGCACCCTACCATCCCTTCCCTGGGCGCCGTACCTGTCTGCTGTGATGCTCTGGTGGCTGGGCACGGCTGCAGCTCACCCTGCTTGCCAAGGACAGTGAGCCAAGGAGGCCTAGCTGGGTCTGATCCCCAGGTTCAGAGGCCCGGCACTCACAGCCAGCTACACGGAGTCAGGACTTCTCTCTCCAGGAGCGCAGGCCTGACACGGTGGCAGCTGCTTTCTTGCTCCTTCACCCAGCTGCCCCCCACGTTCCAGGAGCCCCTGGGAAGGGAGATGGGCAGGGTACAGGTGCCAGCTGATGTGAGGGAGCTGAGGGCTTATCCTGGACTAAGTGAGTTTGATTTAGGAGGCGTGGTTTAAGTTCCCGCCGCTAACACACTGCTTGGAGCAAGCGAGAGTCTTTCATGCAGGTAAGGGCGTGGCTCACATGTGTTTTTTTTCCTTCTGTGACCACCTGCACAAGTGGATGAGAGCCCATGCCTGGTCTTCACAGAGTTTCTTCCCCATGGGGTCCCACTGCTGCCCCTTTGAGAACCCTACAAACCATAAGAGTAGCACAGACGTTTCTACCTCAGTCTGGCTTCACTGAGATGAAAGACTCGTCCTGCCTGGGCCAGAGTAAAAAGGCAGTGCTGGCGTTTGGTCTCTGCTCGCAGGACTCAGGGCTGCATGCAGCTGGGAGGCACCCGTGTTGACCGTTCCGGTCATGCTCAGATAATGGAGAACGCTTACCGGCCAGTGCCTGTGTCTGCATTCTGAAGCTCAGTGTCACCCGGACATGTGGCTTTTTTCTTTTTTTTTTTTTATGTTTAGACAAATAAGGGAACGGCAATGTTGATGCTAAGAGCACATGTATTGGTGACTTCGTAACAGACACCCTTAACTCACACTGACTCCGTCTTCAGCCTGTCAGCTGCCCTGTGCCATTACAGCCCTGTCACAAATCAGAAAACCGAAATATGGAAAGGCTGTGATCACCCGCCTCAAATGCCCCAGGAGATGGAGGAGCAGGGATCCAAAGCTCCAACTGTGTGCACTCGCTGACTCTGTACCGAGCCTGCCCTAGGACCTGAGTCCTCCCAGGGTACCAGGTGTTCTTTCTCCTGTCTTTGAGAGGGGCTGATGTTCTGTGGGGGGCTGGGAGGGAAAGAGAGGTGGGTAGACCCTGATGAAAATGGGCTAGAGAGATGGTCTCCTCTTCTTCCTCGGCCCCTTTGCTACCCTATCTCTGGTGGTTTTGGGAGGTTCCCAAGCCAGGAGCCCACTTCTGATCAACAGCTTCTACCTCTGAAAATTATAGGTGATGGTAGCTGCCTGGCCAGCTAGTTGTGAGCCACAGACATGGTGTTTGTGCAGTTCTTGGTGGGAGCTGGATAGTGGTAGGTCCAGAGTGACTGACATCATCATCTGGGACCACACTTGCCATTCTTCCTCATCCTCTGCTTCCTCACTCCAAAGGGAGACGTGGGCGTTGCCTGATGAGCGCTGTCTAGAAGTTGTCTGGCTCCAGCACCTCTTTCAAAATCGACACAGATGCCTACGGCATTCAAGAAGGTAGACAGCCTCCAAGCGCCGGAGCTCCAGAACCTTTTCCCTCTGTCATAAAACACAGGGGTATTCACTTGTTTGTGCCCCCCGCCCTTGAAGTAAATGCTGTTGCCACAATGAGAATCCCCCTTGTTTTCCACCAAGGGCATCAAGTCTCTTCTCTGTTTATTCGCTAAAGATGGAGGTCCTGAGGCAGTGGAAACTGGGGGGTGGGGGTGGGCTCACGAGGTCAGAGCTCTTTTCCCTCCCAGCAAGCTTCGGATCACTCACGTCACCACACTGCAGGGCACACTCTGCGGCTGCTCTCCCACGGCCAGGGCCAGGCTTCTTATAAAGCAGTTGTCTCCCTACTTAACAGCCCCTGGTTGAATGTTCTCACATTTGTCGCTTAGTGACCTTAATTGGCATATTAGTGTGAGTGCTTGGCTTGACTTCCTGCTGCCTGCTGACATTCCAGGGCTCCTTCAGGCCCAGGGTGAGCTTGCATGTACATTTCCCAGCATGTGACTCAGGTGAACTGAGGGAAAGTATAGGGCATACAGCTTCTCTTCTAGGGATCCAAGAATGGTACATGTGTATGTGTGTGTGCGCACACGTGTGTGTACATGTGTGTGTGTGTTTCACAAGGTGGAGTGAGATGTATGAAGGCTGTGAGGTTTGAAGCTGGGACTCTCTGCAGTAAGGCTAGAAGGAGGAGGAAGAAGAGGAGGAGGAGGAGGAGGAGGAGGAGGAGGAGGAGGAGGAGGAGGAGGAGGAGGAAGGGACAGTGTGGGTCCAGGGAACATGGGTTAAAAACAGACCTTCAGTGACATGTCAGGGAACTGCTGTTCCTTCACCAGTGTCTACAGATGCATCTGTGGCCTTTTGCACTCCATCAGAGAGAGGTTGTATGACCCAGGCTTACACTCTCAGCTCAGTGGTGACCTTGATCCAGGGTTTGTGTCCCTGTCACTGATGTGACCAGCTCTTCTGAGCTTCTGCCACCCTCTCCTCTGTTCCTGCCTCGGCCAGCAATCCTGCTCCAGGAAGCCTCTGTGTGACTGCAACATCCCGAGTACCTCACACTTCCCATAGCCTCCCTGGCCCACCAGCCTCTCCGGACACATTTGCCCTTTCCAGGGAAGCCATCATCTCAGTCTGCAGCTTAAATTAGAGGGGAGAACTTCTGAATGCACTTCTGCTGGTGCCTGAGCAGCTCCAGCTCAGCCCGAGACGGGAGCCACAGGGAAACCTTGAAACCTCCATGGGATGCTCTGAGCCAGCCCGAGGCACATCCACTCACAACTGTGCCTTTGAAAGCATTCTCTTCAAGTCACTATTTATCCAGACCTAGTCTCTGCACCACCCATTTCTCTGTAACCTCTGCTAAGGGAAGAGACCCGCTTGCTTCTTTCCCAGGTGTCTTCTCAGAGTTCAGCAAG